TGTAGCAGCAGCACCAGGGCTCCTGGGGATGCCAGCCACCCTGGCGTGGCTGGGACCACCGGGCCGCCCCTCAGAGACCCCAGCAGGCCTTAGAGGTCCCCCCAGCCCCTTTCCAGGCAGAGCAAATGACAAGGGCCCACCCCCCCCACCTTCCCCTCCCCTGCCCAGGGACCTACCAGCTTTGTGCCACAGCTTCGGACCCTGGCCCACAGAGCAGGGAGCACCAGGCCACCAGGCCTGTTTCGGGCCGGCTGGGAAAGGCCTGCTCCTGGGGCCGTGGTCCCCCGCAGGTGGCAGTGGGGGGAGCTGGCCCCAGAGGCCTCGCTGCACACTGGGTGGCGAGCGGGGGGTCTCCCCAGGAACGGGGGAAGCAGACTCCCTGGAGAAGCCTTGGGATGCAGAGTCCTGGGCCCCGGTCCTCAGAGCTGGCCCGGAGCAGGGCCCTGGAACCCGTGCGTGAAGATGCTCCCAGGTGCAGCCAGGCTGGGCGAGTCGACCTTGTGCCTGCTGTGGCCTTCAGGGACCCCAGGGGCTAGCTGGGGGGGCAGCTCTGCAAAGCTGCAGGGGTGCAGCCATGCTCCCAGGGCTGGGGGCCAGCAACCTCCCTCCTCTGACACTGGGGGGTTGCACTGAGCCCCCGAATTCCTCCCAGAGTAGGGCTTCCCCTGGAAATAGGGTCGGTGCCACAGTAACCAGTGCCACACGTGGCTGGTGTCCCCTCCGCACCGGGGAGAGGATTCTGAGGGAGGCCTGCACCTGAGGCTGGGGGAAGCCGGCGCAGAGGCAGTGGGGTCTGCACGGGCTGGTGAAAGTCGTCCAGGTGAGGTGGGGGTGGGCAGGGCCCCAGTCACAGTGAACACTCAGGGCCAGGCGTCTGCACTGGGGCTGCGAGGCCCCCAGCGGAGAGCCTGGGTTTGGGTCCCACTCCGCCTCCTATTCCAGCTTCCTGAGAGGCGGCGGGTGACGATCAAGTACTTGGGAAGACCTGGGCTGAGTTCCCAGCGGCTGGCTTGGGCCCCCAGCGCCGGCTGTTGAGGGCATTTGGGGAGGGAACCAGCAGACAGGAGCCCCCCACCCCGCACCTTTCTAAAGAAACAAAAGGCAGGCCGGGTTTACTGCCTACCTGAGGCCGGGAGGGGTGAAGGAGCGGGCCGTGGGAGGGCGTGGGGTCGGGGTGGGGGGTGAGGTACCAGATGAAGTCAGATGCACCCTGTGGGGCATCTCCAGAAATCCAGCGGCAGACCCGGCTGGAGCAAGGGGTGGGGCAGCCCCAGCAGGTGCAGGCACACTGCGGCCGGAAACGCGCCAAGGGGAGGGCCTCAGGAGGAGGTGGGTGAGGGCGGAAGGGCCAGAGACCCAGGCATGGACAGGAGGGAAGGGGCCGGCTGGGTGCGCTGCAGCCTTCGCAGGGACGGGCAGCAGGTGGCGCGGCTGAGCCGCTCGCCTCTCTCCCGGCCTTGAAGTGCGGAGTGGGGGCGGCCGGCGAGCCGGGGTGGAAGCCCCGAGGCCGGGAGCAGACCCGCAGGCCCAGAGCCCCTCAGGCCATCTCTGAAGGGGCGGGTTCCGGCCGCCCCGCGGGGCAGGTGTTCGCCCACCTGGGGCCAGAACCGGAGACGCCCCGCCCACGAGCTCCGGCCCTCCGCTCTCGGAGCCTCGGGACCCGGGGCTCTGCGCGGGCGCGTGGGGGCCGGGGCAGGAATTGCGCCGCGCACCCACCCCGCCCAGTCCCTGCCCAGGGCGCCCGGCTGTGCTCGCAGGGTGGACGGGATAGGGGCTCCCGGGGAGGGGCGCTTCCCGTGGGGAGGCGGGTGGCAGACCCCGGGTCCTCCCGCGCCAGCCAGCCGGGCCTTGGGGCACCCTGCACCGGGTGGACCTCACTGCCCCGCGTCCCAGGCGGCCCTTGCCCACTCCCCACTGGTAGGGCGCCGGTGGTCCTCCCCCTGCGGGGGCCGGGGCCCGCCAGCCCTGTCCCCTCCCCCATCCCGCCCTACTGCCCTAAATCCTGCCCCTCCCGGAGTTTCCTGTTGGGGCTGAGTCACCGCTCTGGGCGGCGGCTGGGTTCTTCCTGGCCCTGCCCCACGCCCAGCAGAAGTGACCCCCACCAGAGATCAGAAAGGGGTGGGGTCTGCGTGGTGGAGAAACCCCAGGGGATCAAGGAAACCTGGGGGGAGGGAGCAGAAGTCACTTGTGGCCTGCTGAGGGTCCTGGGATTCCTGGCCTGGGCAGGTTGGGGTTCCTGCCTCTGACCTGGGGGACAGCTCCCCAAGGGGACCCAGGTAAAGGCCACACCTGGAGCCCGGTCCCGCCAGGCTTGGAGCAGGCCCAGTGCCCACTGACCACACCTCCCTGTGGGCACGTGGGGGAGGATTGTTGCTGGGGCATCTGCTGAGTGAGGGCTCCACCTGGAGGGGGCGGAGAGGGGACAAGCAAGGGAAGGAGGGTCCCAGCTCTCCTGACCCCCTCATCTGGGTCCCAGCCCTGGCACTGGGGTGGGGGCCTCAGAGTGGGGCTGGCTTGGTTCTGCCCAGGAGCTCAGGCCAATCTGGCCCCCACCAGGCTCCAGGACTCCTGCCCCCCTCCCCCCACTTCTATTTTGGGCTCTCCTTGCCTATTTATAGTCTGTCCTATTGCATCACTGTCCAGGGTAGTAGGGCTACCTGCTAGGTCCCAGGCTGCAGCCCCGGTGTATGGGGTGGGATGGTGTGCTTGGCCCTGGGGCACACAGCTGCAGTGGCCGGGACCCTGCGTGCTCCTTTATGTTGGGTGGGGAGGGAGGACGTGGCATCTTCCCCTTTGCTCCCAGCATTCCCCCTGCCCTGGCTGCCTTTGCTGCTCGTTTCAAGCTTGGAGTGTGCAAAGACGCGGACACTTCCACTGAGCGGCCAGCGGCTGCCCCTGGCCAGAGTGGAGGCCCCTTCCTGGGTCAGCGAGTTCCTCCTCGCCTGCTACCCCTCCCCTCATTCTCCCAGCCTCCAGACCCCACCCCTCCCCGCCCCAGGCCACCCACGCCCCCAGCAGGTGCACTGGGCGGTTCTGAAGTCAGGTGAGTCCTGAGTTTGAAAAGGCGGGATGCAGCTCACCAGACAGCTGCCTGGGCTTTGGCAGTGGGCTGCCCTGGAGTCACCTGCTCGTGGTCTGGGGGAAGCCGCCGTCTCCAGCTCACTCCCTCTGCCTGGCCAGATTGGCTCTGTTTCCAGCGCACAGGGCCTCCGTGAGTGACACTGTCAGAGGAGACCCCAGGGTAGGGCCCAGGGTGTGCTCTGCCTTCCTCCTCGAGCCCCTGCCCCAAAGGGTGGGCTTCCTGAACGGTGGTTCCCCGAGTGCTCCTGCCTGCTGCCCACCACCCAGGTTGCCCACTGCAAAGGCTGCTGGGAATATCTGCGACCCTGCCTGGCCTCTGCACCCTCCCTTGAGACTGCTGGAGTCCAGATCCTCAGAGGCTCAGTTTCCTCCAGCCCCACCCCCACCCCCACCATTCCGAGTCACGGAGAATGCACCTGTTCCCCCCCACCTGGCCTGGGCCAGAGGCCCTCAGCTGCGGGCCCCCAGCCGTGAGCGGCCCTGCCTCTCTCCTCCCTCCCATCCGTGGCCCTTGGCAACAGCCCCCACGTCCACCACCACACACCTGCGCAGCCTCTGCCAACCCAGCCTGGCCATTGGACGTCAGGACATGCCCCTCCTGGGAGCTGCCCTGAGCAAGGGTCTGCCCACTCGTCACTGAGCCCCTGGGGTTCTGAACCTGGTGAACTGCCCCCCGGGAGTACAGCGGCTGGTGGGGCCTGAGTGGCCTGTGGGACCAGGGACTGCCTGGGGAGGGGAGGGGCGCAAGCAGTGGTGCCTGGGAGATCAGGGGACCGAGTACAGCCCCAGCTTTGCCCTGGGCCCCGAGAAGGTTGAACTGGGCTCTGGTGTGGCGTCGGGTTCCGGACAGCTTGTGTATCGTTCACTGGCCATTCGCTGGGTGCCTTCTGTATGCAAGGACCAGGAGCCCGCCTGCAGCCCCCAGGAGGTAAGCACAAGGCTTCAACAACCTGTGACCCCCAGCCCCCCCATCTCGGCCTAGCGCTCTGTGGAAGCGGGGCTCAGCGCAGTAGCCGGGCACGGTCACCCCAGCAGCGTCTTACTCTTGCTTCAAGTCAAGTTGACCTTGGCACCCCAGCTGAGGTGGTAACAGCGGCCCCCGCCCCGGTGCCCAGGAGGGGCCCTGCCCCCAGCTCCTGCGGTCAAGTTCGCTTGCACTGCCGGGGGGCAGGGGGGGCTCCATGTTCTGGAAGCCACCAGCAGCTTTTATCCAGTCCTGGGTTTTATTGACTCCTAGGGGCTGCCAGAGTTATAAATAGATGTTCTTGAGCTAAAAATAGCCCTGCTGGAGTCCAAGGATGCTTCCAGCTCTCTGCCTCCTCCAGGCGGCCGGGATGTGGGGCTCCAGCCCGCAGCACTGCTGGCTTTGTCCTCCCCTGCTCTCCTCTCGCTCCCTCTGCCTTCCGGGAAGGCGCAGGGGCCGCTGGCGCTTCTTGAAGTCAGGAAGGGCCCCCAGGCCAGGCAGGCCAGGCCGGGGCAGCAGTGAGGACGCCCTCCGCTCCTGAAAGCGCCTAGGGTCCACCCCGCCTGGCGCACGGTGAGCGCCAGTGTGTGCGCGTCCCCGGGACCCGGGAAAGCCGCACAGAAGAATCTGTGTTCTGGGAGCCGCATGGGCGTCCAGCACCGGCCACCACTGCTTCTGTCGCTGCATGCCACTCCACAGGCGCTGTCCCACCTGGTGGGGTGGAGGGCAGGGCCGGCCGGCCTGGATGGTGGGGGTGAATGCAAAATGGTTTTATTTACACGGTTTTGACTTATTCACACCTTCAGCAGCCTGCACTGGCAGAGTGGCGCCCCTCCCCCACCTCAGCTCTGGTGAGCCCCGCAGGTGGGCACCCCCCAGAAGCCCCTCGGAGCTTCTGCCCCCACCTCGACACACCCCACCCCAGCCTGAAGAAAAGAGGCAGAGGAGCCCCCAGGAAAACCTGGGTGCGGGATTTATTACAACACATTATCTCCAGATACAAAAGGGGGTGGGGGAGGGGGCTGGCAGCCCAGTCCACAGCGACCGGGGGCCGTGGGTGGGGGGACCGGCCACCTCTCCTCCACTGGACTTTCCAGCAAATAACACGAGGGGCCTGGTCCATTCTGGGGCAGTCTCTGTGCCCAGCAGCGGGGCAGGGGGCGGGCAGTGGGCAGGAGGCTGGGGGAGAACTGGGCAGTGGCCCCTCCAGACCCCAAGTGCTGGGCAGGAAGTGACCATTGTGGGGGGCCCTGTCTCCCCGGCAAAGGGGAGGAGGCAGCAACCGAGCTGTCCTCCGCCTCTGCTGCTCACTTCGGGTCTGGGCCTGCAGTAGTGAGAGCAGAGGTCACCAAGCCCCCCACAGCCAGGACGACGCCACGCCGAGGAAGGGAAGGGAGTGGGGAGGTAGGGCTGTGGGACCCCCCTCCAGGGTTTCAGGGCCCAACCAGTGGCCCCAGACCGCTGTCTCCCGGACAGCACAGGGAGGGGGCTTGGGGGGGGGCGAGGAGGTGAGAGCCAGTGCATCCTCCACACCCAGGGTCACCTGGGAAACCCAACAGGGACAGACGTACAGGAGGCGGGTCCACAGACGCAATAATCATAATAATTAACCCATAGTAATAAATACTCAAACCTCTAAGAGATTGCAAATACAACAATGATAGCTTATCTCCTGGGGGCTGGGGCTGTGGGGACGGAGGGGCAGGAACAGCACTCCCTGCGGACAGGGACACAAGGCTGGGGTCAAAAGAACAGAGAAAGAAGACACGGGGCGGGGGGGGGGGGGAGCAGAGGGGCCTCCCACCTGCTGGGCCGCCCGCCCTCCTGCCCAGCCCCTGGCCCTTCCCAAGGCGGCCACTCCCTCCTCCCTTGCCAGGTTCAGGGGCCCCTGAGGGCTGGGCGCAGCTCCTCCGGTCCCCAGAGCCTTGGGGTCCAGTGGCCCAGAGGCTGTGGGGGGGCAGCTGGGGCTTCTCCCCCACCCTCACCCCCAGGTTGGCCCACCTGGGCCCAACGCCACCTGGAGGTGGGGGCTGGCACATCACCTTGAAGCTGCCAGGAGAACAGCCACCCCAGGGCAGGGGGCCCCTCCCCTGAGGCCCCCTTGGGGGTGGGGCAGACCCGGGTCTTCCTCTGCCTGGAGCTCAGGATTCGGCCTGCTCAGAGCGGGAGGGTCTGGCAGGTGCGAGGCAGCACCTGCTCCCCGAGGCCTCCTGGACCTGCAGGTGCACAGCCTGGGGCCCCGGCCTGGGGCTGGCTGCAGGGAGCCCTCAAAGCTACCCTGGCCTCACACCTGGGCGCAGACCCCTCCCTCCCCCAGTGGGGTCCCGAGCCTCCCGCCCAACACCCCCACCCAGGGCCAAGCTCCTCTGGGCGGTGCTTCCCCCCAAAGCAGGCGGCTCCCTGTGTAATCTGGCTTAGGAGCGGCCTCTCCGGGTCACCAGGGCAACTGGCCCTGGCCCAGGCCCAGGCGCGTTCCCACCCCCATCAGATGCTGGGGAGCCGCCAGGCCCCCATTTGCAGCCCCTCACCCTGGGTCCAGTGGCCCTCAGCAGCTACTGGGGTCAGCCCTGGGGAGCTGCGTACATGGTTGCCCTCTGTGCCACCAAGACTTGGCACCTGGAGCTGGCACAGGGCTGGCACCACAGCCACAGGTATACCAGCTCCTGGCATCACCACCCCAGCCTACTTCTTGGGTGCAGAGCCGGAGAAGGAAGGGGGAGGGGAGGAGAGAGGAGGGAGGGTCTGCGGCTCAGTTTGTGGCAAAGACTTTTTTTTTCCTTTTTTCCCCTTTTTCTTATGTAAAAAGTGCACGAAAGCTGGGCAGCCTCTTTGCAAAGCTCAGCAGTGTCTCCCCTCCCGGGGAGGGGGCCCCAGGCCTGGCGCCCCAGCTTGCCACTGCTGGTGGCCTCGTATTGCTTAGAAACGTGAGTTTCCGTTTAAATACCGGACAGTAAAAATAGAGCCCCGAGGCCCGCCAGCGCCGTGGCCAAGTCACGGGCAGTCAACAGCTTAAATAAATAAAAATCGAAATATTCACTTCTCGGTAAAAATCGCAGTAAAACCATCTACCGTCCTCCGTGCTCTGCACGACGCACACGCCCCGCGGCCGCGGCGGCGTCAGGACACGCGGATGACCTCCACGCTGCCCGAGAAGCTGCCTTGCCTGCCCAGCGCCGCCAGCTCCTCGCCGCGCGCGCGGCCCTCGGCCCGGCCGTCCTCGAAGTCCATCTGGCAGCTGCGCCGCGTGAACGGCGCGTCGGGCGCCGTCGGCTCGTCCGGCCAGCCGGTCCGCGCGTCCCGGGCCTCGGCCCGCGCGCCCGCCCGGCCGAAGGGCGCCCGCAGCGCGCCGCCCGCGCCCTGCGCGCCCTCGGGGCTGAAGCACCAGGGCGCATCGGGCGACGGCGTGCCCGGGGAGTCCAGCGGCGGTGCCCAGGCCCCAGGGCCGGCGGGCTGGCCGGGGCCGGGCAGCCCGGGCGCCGACAGGGCCGAGAGGCCGTGCCGCGGAGTCTGCCGGGCCGCGTCGCCGAAGTTCAGGCCCAGGCCGTGCGCCGGGGAGCGGGCAGGGGAGCCGGCAGGGGCGCGGGGCCGCCTGCGGGGCCGCGGGCGCGCCTCGGGCGCGGCGGCGTCGGGGCTGTCGGCGCCCGGGGAGGGCAGGCCCCGCGCGCCCCCGGACGGGCTGTCCAGCTTGCAGAGTTTCGGGGCCTCGCCCGGGTCGGGGGGCCCGGGGCCGTCGGGCCGCCGGCTCGGGGCGTAGGCCGACTTGATGTCCAGCGAGAAGGAGCGCTTGAGGCGGTTGGTGTCCTGGAGGCGGTCGGAGGAGAGGTGCAGGCCGCGCAGGCCCTGCTGCAGCGCGCTGGTGGCCGGCGCGGCGGCGGGCGCGGGCGGCGCGGGGGGCTCCCCGCCGGCGCTCGGGCCGCCCTCCCTGGCCGCGCCGGCCGCGGCGCTCCCGGTGGCAGCGCCCTCTGAGGTAGGTGGAGGCAGCCGCGGCAGGGGCGCCGGGCCCGGGAGCGGCTCAGGCGTCCCCGGGCAGGACGCCGCGTCCCCCTGCAGGGCGGCCAGCAGCTTCAGGCTCCGCTCATACTCCAGCAGCTGGCCCAGGAAGTTGAAGTTGGGCGAGATGGACGGGCGCCGGTCCTTGACGAACCTGCGGCGGCGACGGGGGGCTGGGCTCAGGCCTCCAGCTCCGCCCCTCGGGGAGCGCCGGGTGTGTGGGGGAGGGCAGGGGCGGGCACCCACCTGTAGGCGTCATCGGAGGACATACTCATAGTCTTCATGATGTAGGCGATGGCGATGGTGGCAGAGCGGGAGATGCCAGCCAGACAGTGGACAATGACTTGGCAGCTGGACAGCTTGGCCTTATCTGGGGGCGGGGGGCGGGGGTGAGGGCTGAGCTCCCGGGCTGGGCACCCTCGGCCCCGCCCCCGGGCGCGCCGGCGGCCCCGCCCCTCCCGCTGGCCGCAGACCTCACCGATGAACTCGATGGACTTGTCCAGCCAGGGCAGCAGCCTCTCGCAGTAGCTGTCGTTGATGGGGATGCGCATGAAGCGGCTCTCGCAGATGAAGTCGGGCTTGGGGCAGGAGTTGCTGGCGTTCAGCACGTAGCTTATGCCGTTTTGGGTCATCAGGTCCTGGCAGGGCAGGACGGGTCAGAAGGGGGTGGGGAGGGGGACGCCCTGGGGTGGCCTTCTCCTGCGGCAGGGAAGGGCTGTAGAATCTTGGGGGCTCCTGGGGCTCAGAACGTGCGCGGAGAGCCTCCTGGTCTGAGGGCGTGGGGAGTCCCCCCCCTCCACCTCTCTGATCCCTGCCCAGGCATTTCATGGCTGCCTGGGTGGTGGCTTTGGCTCCCGCCCCCCCCCACTTCCTGTCCCATCCCGTCCATCGGTCGTCACTGCTTTTTAAAACACGGGAGTCTTTCAGAGCTGGCCAGGGGCCCGGTGACATCAGCACTTTGGCATGCCCGCCCTGCTAGGCCCCTCCTCCAGCCCTGTGTGTTCCTGTGCGGGGTGGGGTGGGGAGGGGAGCCTTGGGCCGCCTCTGCCCCCAACCTGAGCTTATCTATCGGAGCCTGGCTGGCCCCAGCCCCTCCCCAGACCACCCCTCTGGGTGAGGCTGCCCGGGCTCCCACCGCCCCCCTCCCCCTGCCCTGTGCACACACCTTGTTGAGGACATCCTTCTGAGAGCCCAGGTAGAGGTGAGGCAGGATGCGGGTGAGGCCCACGCTGGGCACGGGCAGGCAGGGCTGCGAGAGGCTCATGGGCAGCAGGGCAGCGGGCTTGCCCTCACAGAGGCCGGGGAAGCAGGAGGAGAAGGTGGCAAAGCCCCCTGCGGGAGGAGGGAGAGGGAGACGCGTGAGGCCACACAGCACAAGGTCCCCATCCACGCAGGGCTCAGCCATGCCCAGGGGGACCCCCGGCCCGCGCCCGGCCTGAGCACCTGGTCTCGGGCCGGAGGACGGCTCTCTCCGGGCGGGCGGCACCTGCTGTAGCATTTACAGTCTGCACCAGGAGACGACACCCACATTCCTCCCCACGCTAATTAGGGGCTGGCCCCGCGGACGACGCTGCTGTGATGCCCATAAAAATGTGGGCTGGAGGTGGCCAGCACGGCACGTGCTGGACCCGGAGGCCGTGGGGGTCTCGGGTCGGGGCGGGAGCCTCTCCGAGCTCTGGCACTCAGGCCTGTGGCCAGGCCGGGCCTACCCTGAGCTGATGCAATCCTTCCCTGCCTGCAGCTGGCCGACAGCCCCAGGCCCTGGCCTGGGTGCCAGGACTGCGAGGCAAGTGCTTGTGGGGGACCTCCTCCCCCCGGGGCATGACATCACCCCGTGGGATTGGCACAGCCGGCAGGGGCATTTGTGGTCAGGCCGCGGCTCTGCTCCAGCAGAAGACAGAGGCGCAGAGGCACCTGGGGCAGCAGGCGTGCCCAGGGCAGCAGTGGGCACCGGTTCTGCACACAGCTGGCACGCACCCTGCCGCCGAGTCTTGGGCTACAGGCTGGTGGAGGGGCGCTTCGCAGCCCGTCCTGGTGCCTCCGACTCTGTGCCCACGAACAGCACGCCTCTGGCCTCGGCTTCCTTGTCCTGTATGAGTGGCCCTGGACACACCTGTCCTGGCTGGGGTGACCACTGACTCACACCAGAAACCAGGCAGTAGCCGTCAGCTCGTGACAGGGTGAGCCGAGACCTGCTCGGTGACTTCTGGGGCTGTTCACATTTTGGGGATACCAGCCCCACCCCTACCCCAGCAGGTGGGCTGCTGCTTCTAAGTTGAGGCATTCGCTACCCCTTGGGAAGAGGCAGGGTCCCAGGTCCCCCGGAGGAGGCTGTGCCGGGGACCTGGAGGTTTGCTGAGGCGCTTGGCCGTCATCCCTAGCCCAGCACTGCCGGAGAGCCCGTGTGCCGCAAAGGAAGGCGTGACTTTGGGGGACCCTGGAGATGGGGAGAAGCAGTCCCTTCCTCGGGAGGCTGCCGGGTGCACAGCGTGACTGTAGGCAGCAGGGCTGCCCCAGGTCCCCGGCCCCCAGATGCCGAGCAGGGTGCCGTGGGGCCCCGGACGCTGCCACCCCCTCCTATGCCTGCCGGAGGTCAGCCCCCTGGAGGGACAGGGCCTGCGGACTGTCCTCCCCACCTGCCCTCCCCCTCCCCCTCAAAGTGAGAGGCATGGGGAATCCCAGCGGAACCCCTGTCCCCCAGACCCAGGGAGCTCTGGGCGCCAGTCCTGGAGGGGCTGAGGTGACAAGGGAGGGGCATAGGCCAGAATGAGTGGTCGGTCCTAGGCCGTGGCCTTCCTTGGGGCCTGGGGAGGCGCTCCTGCCCCCAGGTACCCCAGGAGTTCATGCAAACCCCTCTGAGACGGGTGCAAGGTGCATACACCAGAGGTGGAATGCACGTGAGTGCACACAGACGCGGGTACACGCGTGCGGTGACGACCACCCTGCAGACACCCTGGCCTAGAGGGGTGGGGCCCTCGACTCACACTACAGTCACGGAGAAGGGGCAGCCTGTGTCACCCACCCCTGCCCACCACCCAAGGCTCCCAGACGATGCTCAGGCCCCTGGGCAGCCTCCCTCACAGGCAGGGCGGAAGGTCCCACTCCTGTTGGCCGCCGGAGGCAGAGGACTGGCCCAGCTGTGCCTGCACCTGTCAGGAGCCCAGTGCCTCCGTTGGTGTGTGTGTATGGGAGGTGGGGACACTGTGTGCAGCCCTCCACACGCCCCACTCCGCCTGCCACAGCCCTGTGGTTGGTACACAGAGGCCAGGGCATGAGCGTCAACAAAGACCCCAGACCCATGCGGGGGAGGAGGTGTGTCCCTGGGACCTGGGCCACCTCCAGGAGGGGATTCCATGGACGTGTGGGGGGGCTGGCTGGCCAGGCCATGTGTAGACCCTGGAGCCCTGTACTGGCCCCTGGGCAGCAGGGTGGGACCGGTCCCAGCTCACAGGGGGTTCCCAGAGAGGGTCTCTCCCGGTCGCTCGCCCCTGCACAAGCGAGTCATTCTCAGGGATCCCCCTGCTCTCCTGCCTGGGCCCCTACAGACGTGGCCTCCGCAGACACCCTCGGGCCCTGCCACGCTGCAAGGGGGCTGCGGAGAGGGAGGCTCCCCGGAGCTCACCTGTGAGGATGGCCACGCTGTCAAAGCAGCCGTCCAGCTTGCTGAGCAGGATGGAGAGGAAGCTGTCGGCGGCCAGCACGCTGGCGTCCCGCGTGCTCTGGTCATAGACCACCACGTCCTGCGGCTCCGCGGCCTCTACCTGGGGGCCGTGAGGGCAGCGGTCAGGGCTGCCTGCACCTGTCTGACAGCCCAGCCCCCTGCTGCCACCCACCCACCCCTGCCCAAAGAAAGGGCTGCTGCCTGAGGGGATGGCAGGTGCCCTGCCCACGCCCACACACTCTCTGCCTGCTGGGGGCACAGATGTGCTCACACCTGGATAGGTATAAATGTCCAGGCCCACACAGATAGCCACAGGGTCGGGGAGGCACAGAGAGGGCTCGTGCCCTCTCCAGCCACACAGGGGAGGGGGGACACGTGTGTCCCCTGTGGCCAGGCTGGCGTCAAGTAGATGCAGGTGATGGCTGGGGGGGGGTGCACCTGCTGGGCACCAAGAGTGACAGGGCACATGGCCGGGGGGCCTGGGCACAGGCAGAGGAGTTGGGCGAGTCTTTTGGGTGGGGGTCTCGCTGGAGCTGCTGGGCCTCTCCTTCCCTCCCCAGCCCCGTGGAGACCCTGAGGGCTGCAGCAGGAGTGTCCCCCACCCCCACTCCGGAGGCAGCAGCTGGAGGCTGGGGTTCCTCCTCCCCTCCCCCACTCTGAGGGAGGGGCCTTGGGGCCAGATGTTAAGCGGCTTTTGCTCAGAGAGCAGCGGCCACCCCCCCTCCCCACCCCAGCACACTCAGCCCTTAAGCCAGCTGAGCCGCCAACCCGGGCTGGATGATGTCACCAGCAGCCAATAGGCTCACACTCCGGCCTGGAGTCCTCGCTGGGGGTGATTAATCACCAGATTCCCCCCACTGGAGCAGCAGGGAGCCTGCTGTGGCTTGGAGTGGGGGCACAGCCAAATGCACCGTCCCACCTGGGACCAGGTCCCGGGCTGCCACATGTGCCCCGTGCCCCGCCGGAGGCCTGGGGGGGGGCACCTGCACGGGTCCCCGGCCCCGGCCTCCTGGCCCCCTTAGCTGGGCGGTCCTGGGGAGGAACGAGCTGGGACAATGTTCCCTAAAGACTGCAGTCCCCTTGCCAGCCCCCCACCCTGTCCTCACAGGTCAGAGCAGCTGCGTCCAGCTGTACCCCTGCGTGGTCCCACCTCCCTCTACTCAGCAGGCTCCTTTCTGAGCCCTGTTTGGGCCTTGGGGGCACCGACCTGCCTTGTGTGCTTGGAGGCAAACTCGGGGAGCCTGGACTCCCAGGTGGGGTCAGCAGGCTCAGGAAAGAGGGGGCTGGGGAGATGCGGCAGGAGGGCCTCCCTGGAGGAGACACCTTGCAGTGCTGAGGAGCACGTGGGGAGTGGGGGCAAGGTTCCCCAGTGACATCCTGGAGCCCGGCTTCGCTGCCTGGTCCCAGGCCCCCGTTCAGCTGTGGACTCCGGTGCGGCCACGGCCGGGTACCTGGCTGCGCACGGCCGGCTGGATGAGCTCGGCGATCGTCACCTTGCCCTGCTGCAGCCGCCGCTTCACCAGCTTGGAGCAGCAGATGTTCACGGAGCTGAGCACGTGGCAACTGTTGTATTCCACGAAGGAGCGGCTGTCGATGACCAGGGGCCCCCCGGGCCCGCCCCGCAGCAGGCTGGCCAGCTTCCTGGCGTCCATCACCTTCCTCGGGAGCCGGTCCCCGGCCATGGTGGGGCAGTGGGCAGGCTGACCCCCGGAGTGAGGAGGGTGTGGCCTCGCGTCCCGAGTGCCCTAGCGCATGGCAGCAGACCTGAGGGGAGAAGAGGGCGGTCAGAGCTCCCGGGGCTCCCGGGATGCACCAGTGTCAGGGGCCCCCCTCCCCGAGTGTGACCCGAGGCCTCATTGCATTGGGAGGGTCCGTGGGAGCCCTGCCCAGCTATCCTGCAGGCCTCTCAGCAGGACACGGCGGGGCCAGGTGGGTGGTCTCGGGCCGGGTCGGGCCAGGGGGAGCTTCCACGGGGCCCTGGGGCTCACTGACTGACAGTTCCAGGACGGCTCATCCACACCTGGATGCAGCCCTCTCCCTTCTCTGGTTCCGAGGCTTCCCAGGGCCCCTGGCAAAGCAGAGAACTTGCCTGTCGCACTCCAACCTGCCTCTCCCCGCCTCGGCATCTCCCCTGCTCCCCACCACCAGCCTAGTGTGCACAGCGGCTGACCTAAGCCGATAATCCTGGTCACAGTGGGGACTGGACTGACGGGCTCCTGGAGGAGGGTGGGAGGGCTGGGCACTGTGATGGGGGCCACTCCTGCCTCACAGAGTGAGGGCAGCCTTAGGACCAAGGTCAGTGTACCTGGGATGCTTGGGGTGCTGGGGCTTTCAGATGGCTTCAGACACCCTCAGGCTAAGGGGTGCATGGAGGAAGTAGGAGGAAGCTTGGTATCTGGGGCCCCTGGCAGCCCCTGCGCCCCCTGCCCCTGCAGGGCCCAAGCTCCCCACCACTTGCCAGGACTGGCCTTGCTCTAGGCCCACCCGAGCCTCACAGCCCCCAAGGAGACACAGTTTGAATTAACTACGGGAAACTGAGGCTCAAGGCAGCAGTAGGAGAAACACAATGTCCACATGTCACCCATAGCAGCCATGATGCAGCTGACCCCAGGTCGGCATGCCCTGCCCACTGCTGGGGCAGCTCCCAGCCCCTCCGCGCGGTGAGTCCCGGCCCCTCTGCTCGCCTGCTGGGGTCTCTGTGTCCAGTCCCCGCCACCTCCCCTGTAGCCTGGGGTGCCTCCTGCTGCCCCGTGGGCCAGTGAGACAGGGTAAAGCTACTGAGGAACGTGGCACTTCTGAGCGGTGGGCAAGGATTAGGGGTCGGTTCCCAGACACTTGCCCTCCAGGCTGCACCTACAAGGGGCTCCCGGTCCACTGAGGGGTCCCTGCCTGCCCTGGGCATCTCTGCCCTGAGGGGGTCCCTGCCCAGTGAGGTGACTCCTGGAAGTGGTGACAGGCCACAGCCACTTGCCCTGCACACCCCCACCCCTGCCCAGCACCTGAGAGAGCCATAGTGGGGAGGGGATGCCAGGGAGCCAAAGCCTCAATGTGCTCATCTGCTAAGTGGGTAGGTTGTCCCTCAGCTCAAACAGAAGCCAGCAGGACCCCCAGCACAGGGCCTGGAATCCATACTGCCCAATGTGGGTGCAGATCTACCAATGGGCATCGAGGCCAGTGGAGGGGGGCACCTGAGCCCTAGCGACAAGGCAGGCTGGGGGCAGGGGCTGCAGGGGGGCGGGAGGACTGGCTCTGGGGCCTCGTACCTGGCTGGCCCTGCCTCCCCAGGAACACTTGCGCTGGAACGTGGCCCTATTAACCACCCTAGTATTGTTATTTGCAGCCGAGGGGACTCATTAGCAAGTTAGCACCTCCGTTGTCGCCATGGCAACAGCAGAGGCACCAGGCAACGGCTGCTCCTGCGGCTGCAGCCGCCAGCAGGATCCTCTGCAGTGGGCAGGTCATCCTCCTCCGTCCTCACCCGCTGCCTCTGCCGGCAGGCCGGGGACCCCGTGATGACCCCCAGCCCTACCCTACCCGGTGCTGGTCCCAGCCCACTTGCATCTACCCCCTCAGAAGCCTTCTCTGTGCATGGAGGGGCTGGGCTGAGGCTCCTCCTGCAGGGCCTGGGAGGGCAGACCCTTCACCCCTGGCCTCCCGCAGTGAGGGCCCCAGCAGGTGGGGGTGGGGGAGCGGAGACCCTCGGCACAGCCCGGGCAGGTCAGCCGGTGCAGAACAGGTCAGATGGGCTTCCGTTCGGCCCGGGTCTCCACTTTCAAGGACAGGAGTCCAGCTCTGGCGCAAGCTCTGTTGGGCCTCATTCCTGGGAACCCAGGCCCGACCTGAGACCCTCACCAAAGCGGCTTCCAAGTCCAAAGTCAGCAGGAGGCCTTCCCGGCCCCTCTCCCAGAGGCCAGGGA